AAACTTTCGGTTACTGACAGATATCAAATGAAACGATTAAGCCTCACAAATCCAAGCTAGCCGTAAAAAAAGACAAAAGGGAAATGCAAATACATGTTAAACATATCAGAGGAAGTAGAGGTAGAGTTAGCAGCATTACAAACAACAACTGAGCTTATATTTGACATTTCCTAGTCACCACCAAACTAATTATCATCAGCCTAATGATGAAGATCGAGCTTTGCGTTCTTGTTGTTCTACTGTATATTCTCCTAGCTACTGCGATCCAGTAATTATGTGAGTGTGCTGACTGACTGATGATGCCATTAACAGTGTTCGATTACACATCTCTGCTAAAGCTGCACCACTTGTATCCAGTCAATGGAAATGTAAAGAGTACCGGGGCAAGCTAAAGACGTGGGAGTCCAACATCTATGAATTATTCAACCACGTGTGTGTGCGCGAGTATCTGTTTTCAGGTAATAGCTGATAGCATCATGATACCTCATATCAACCAAGAGCTCTTTGTTACCAACAAAAGGAAGAGATGATCTATTGTAAACATTTCATGCAGCAGTCAAAACTCATTATGGTGAAAGATGATGACGGTTTACGAGGCTGCTGTAATTTAAAAGCAGAAAGCACGAGACAGCGGCGGGCTTTTGTGAAAAACTGTCACATTTTGATTGTCTGTGCATCGAGAATCTTCAAACTTTTCATTTGTATAACTTGACTTTATAGGCGTCTTTGTAAAATTAAAACCTAAAAAAGAAGTAAAGCGTCACTTTCCCTCATTGTCACTCTGACCGGAGCGGCTCTAATGCCCGCTCTCAGCACTCGCAGCAGTCAGTAAAGGATACGAACTGTGAGCAAACAACGTGTCGTCCACTGAAAAGGCGCTCAGCCGGTCTTTACTGAGCGTGTGTTTGATGTCTTCGATCAGCTGCAGGTCTTTCCCGCCTCTGCTGACGCTCCTGTCTGACGCTTTGCCTTCGATCTCCTCGTCGCGCGAGTCCTCCGGGCTTCCGTCGTCAGACTTCGACGTTGTAAAATCAGTTGTTTCTGTAACTTCTCGACTTTGCTCGTCTGCTTTTCCCCGTGTTTCATTGACATCTTCGGTTCCAAGCGGGCTCGTGGACTGATTAGCTTCTTCAGTTTGCGGCTCTGTTACATTGAAGTTGTTTTCGATAGTTTTCTCATCAGGTTGGCTCTTAGAAACACTCGCAGGTTTTTCAGAGGCTGAATGACGACTACCTGAAGTGCTTTCCACTTCAGTTTCCTCATTAATTCCTTTCTCTGCACTTTCTTGACCGTTACACTCTTGAAGAGATCCCGTGCTTCCTTTGTGCTCTTCTGACCTCATCTTCTGCACGGCTGCAGACTCCTCCTCACTTTGTTCAGGTTTAGGTTTTAGCATTAAGTCTTTCACTTCAGCCTTCTCCTCCACTTTCACCTCATCTTCTGACACCGTCGCCATCTTGAGTGGACTGCCTGATCTTGGCAGCTCGGTAGATTTCGTCTCTTCTTTATTTGAGCTGGACACTGGAGTGTCAGATATCTCCTCCCTCATATCCTCCAGTGGTTCAACGAATGTCTCGAAAAACTTTGACGACTGGTGCTTGTTGACCCAGTTACTGACTAGATCTGTGCTGTCTTCTGTTGCCAAGGCCTCTGGACTTTCTCTCCCAGTTGCAACAGTCTCTTCTGTACAATCAGCCTCATTGTTTTGAGGTTTGAGCAGCACACTCGCTCCTTCCTCCGAGGCCTTACTCGCATCTTCTGCGTCTCTTCCGTTTTCTCCGTCGGCAGCAGAGACATCACCACCAACTGCATTTTCATCAGTCTGTGGGCACACGTCAGACTTTGTATCTTTGCTTTCTTCATCTAATTTGGAAGCCATAACATCTAAGTCAACAGCAACCGGTGATTGTTCCTGATTCCCTGAAGAACCAGCTGTGACCTCATCCGTGTTTTTCTCAGTGCTGGTCTCCTTTTTTACCAAGTCTGTCTCTTTGTTTTCGTTATCACAGTCGGATTTGTTGCCGTTTTGATCTTCTGCTTCCTCGCTGTCTTTTCTGTCACCTAATTTCGGCTCCGCTTTCATTTCTGTACCTGCTGTCTCAGGCTGTGAGTTGCTTGGAGTTGATTCATCATTTTTTTCACCCTCAGCATCACGTTCTACCTCATCAGCCCCGGCAGCCTGATCAACCTCGTCAGCATCGTGTTTTTTAGCACCTTCTTCAGACTCCACTGCGACTTCTTTAATGTCTGCGCTCTCGTCGTCAGCAGGCCCGTCCGCTTTGCTTTCTTCGTCACCCTCTTCTTCGGCTTTCAAGTCATTTTTGTCTTTTAACTGAGACTCTCCGTCGTCTTTATGATTATTGCTCTCGGGTTCGGTAGAGATCTCCCCGTTTTCAGCATTAATTTCTTCTTTTTCACTCGTGTTGCTGGTTTTTCCAGCATCTTGCTCGACACTCTCAGCCTCTGGCGTCTCATCAGCTGATTTAGTCCCGTCTGCTGCTTCATTTGCACTTTTCTCAGCTTCTTCTGTGGTCTCAGATATTTCTTCTCCTTCTTCTACAGGTGCTTCACTTATGTCCTTGTCATCCTCTTCATCATTTTTGCTCTCTTTGTCTTCACTTTTCTCAGCTTTGTTCTGATTTTCTGATTTTTCTGCCTCATCATCATTTTCTTGAACAGCTGGTTTACTCTCATTGTCACTTTTGTCACCTACTTCAGATTCCTCCAGTTTGTTCTCATCATTTTCTGTCTTTTCTTCAACTTTCTCGTCATCGGCGACTTTATCCTCCTCGCTCAAAAGTTTCACAGCTTCTTCTTCGTCTTCCTTTGTTTTAAAGCCATTTTCAGCACTTTCTGCTGTGTTTTCTGTCCCTTCATCTTCCTTACTTTCCTCATTACCCTCTTCATCATTTTTAACATTTTCATCATCATTTCTTTTCTCAGTTTTTTCATCTTCTCCTTCATCAGAGGTTACATGAGTTTGTTTCTCCTCCTCCTCAGTTTCCTCTTTGTCTTCCTCTTCACCCGTTTCCTCCGATGCTCCAGTCCTCCTCTCCTCTCGCAGCTCGCACTGTTCGTCACTCTCATCCTCTAATATTTGTTCTTCTTTAATGTCATCTTTACTTTCTTCTATCGCATTTTCCTCACCCGTATCTGCTGTTTTTTCCACTGTGGTTTCTCCACTCCCACTTGGCGAGCTGCTCGAGTTCTCTGCATTGACTTCAGTTTCTGACCCTGCCGCTCTGTCCTCGCTGTCTGCCTGCTCCTCCTTCTCTGCGTCACTTACAGGTGCCTCTTCATAGCTGAGGGCCTCTTGCTCCTTTGAGGACTCTGCTTTTATCTCTATTGTTTCTCTGGCTGCCTCTGCATTATCAGGCGCTGCTGTCTCATCAGTCTTTTTATCCGGCTCTGATGACTCATCCTCCTCACTGCTTTTTGCCCCTTGCCCGGTCTCGTCATGCTGAACGTCAGTCTCCTCAGCGCTTTTCTCCTTTCCTTCCTCTGCAGCCTCAGCATCAGCAGTTTCAGCGGGGGTTTCTTCAAGAGGCTCAGTTGTCTTGTCATCTTGTGTCACATTTTCTTCTTTCGAAGGATGCAAAGCTTCACCTGTTTCCTCTGATTTATCCTCCTCTTCTGCAGCCTTGTCATCTTCAGTACTGTCTCTGTTCTCCTGAGGCTCCTGCTCATCGTCTCCACTCTGTTCTTTGGTTTCGGGTGAATCTTCCTGCGTCTGTGCCACCACCACGTCACCAGCATCGCTTTCTTCACATTCTGCCTCTTCTGCAATGGTCTGCTGTTGTTCTGCAGGCGTGACAAGCTCGACTGGAGCTGCATCTGCAAAATACAAAATGGACTTTTAAAATAAAGAACAGTCTTTGTGCCGTTTATGAATTAATTCTAATAAAGATCTGATACCTTTGTTGTCCTGTTGAGGGCCTTTATGTGTGGACTCGTCCTCCTCCTCGGTGCTGGTGTCACTCAGCTCAGGCTCGGAGCTGCACTGCGACTCCTTCAGTACGGCTTCGGACAGTTTTTCTTGCACAGATTTGGCTTGAAAATAAGGAACAGGACACTCGTGATCA